TTCTTTCTTTCTTTCTTTCTTTCTTTCTTTCTTTCTTTCTTTCTTTCATTTTTCTCTGGTCCTAATACAGGACCAAACAAGGCTATGAAAGACAAATGTTTTATTAAGTCACTGTCTCAAAAGCAAGTGTGAGAGAAATCACTTACTCCTCATTGTCCCAGCCAGCTCACTTACAAGCCTGATTGGCCTGGAAGGCAGGACTTCCTGACAAGGGCAAGCTAGGGACCCTCATGACTTGGACACACTGGAAGGGAACCAACTTCATTCTTGAGCTTACTATGTAACTCTCTCCGAGGCTTTAACAACTGAGTCACCAAGGGAATCTGGGAGATAAAGGGCTGGCCGCCCAGTTGAAGGCTAGGGCTGTGGAGCACTGTCTTTAAGATTTTCAGTGCTGGCCTTGTTGTTGCCGCCCCTTCCAAATACCCCAGGTGTCTTTATGAGGACAAAAATGTAAGCCAACAGCAAAGAAAAAAGTCATGCCGAAGCAAACTTGATGGTCTGAGCCTTTGGATTGCTGGTTCCCAGAGCAAGAGAAGAAACGAGAAGGGAATGCTGTTGGACAGTATTCAGGAGATTATGACCCTTGAACAGAAGGTCCATTGGGATTGTTGGGGTATTCATCAGTAGAGGAGTTGAATGGGAAGAGAAAGCAGAGACAGACAGTTTTGGAAGAGCTAGAGGGAGATTGGAAATAGGCAGGGTAGCTGTAAGGAAAACCAGGGGAACTTGGCGTGGTGGTGCACCCCTGTACCCCAAGTATTTGGGAGAGCGTGGCAGAAGGATCAGCAGGTCAGACTAGGCTGGGCTTCGCCACCGAGAGATGTTACTGTTGAAAAAGGCAGAGGGAAGAGTTTCTGTATGTAAATACTAGTGTGCAGGGAATTTGTAGGAGAGACGCTTGGCTGGTCCTCTGTTAGGGATCTGCCCAGGTTGAAGATGACGCTTTCTGTGGGTGGTTGTACAGACCTGTGGGTGGAGTTCCGGACCTGGATTTGGGCACAGCAATGGACAGCAGGAAAGGCCGAGAGAGACACAGTGAATCGCAAGTGAAATGAATATAACATTTTGGAAGCAGCTGGAAAGGCAGAAGCACTGTAACCTCCTAGCTAAGGGTTCAGCCTGCGTCCTGCCTTGAGACCGCTCAGTTCATGGCCAGAGCCTGGCTCAAATGAGCACAGTGTGCTTATACAGCATCTGCTGTCCCCTCTGGGCGGCGCTCGGCCTCCACGTGGTCAGCAGGCAGGAAGAACCTCCTAGGGGGTGGCTTGACATACTTTAGCCCCATCTATTTTCTGGGCTGGAGGTCTGGGAGCTCCTGCTGCCATTACTAAGTCATCTTCATGGAGAGAGTCCCCAGTGCATTCGAGCCTGCCAGCCGTCCTCTTCCAAGGCAGTGGTTCTCAGCCTCGGTGATGCGGGGACCCGTTAATACACCTTGCACGGTGGTGAACCCAACCAGAAAGTTGTGTCTTTGCCTCTTCATGACTACAGTGTTGCTCCTGTTACGACTCATAATGTAAATGTCTGATATGTGGGGCATCGGATATGGGATCCCCCGAAAGGATGTGACCCACAGGTTGAGAACCACTGTTCCAAGAGTCAGGGCGCCTGAGACAAGTTAATGGGGTGCATACAAAGTGGCTTTTACACTGAAAGTGCAAACCTTGTTTATGTGACCAGGTGAAGCCTTACAATGTGTATGTCACCGTGGCCTACCCACCAGATACTGACACCCCAATGCTGGCCGAGGAAAACAAGACAAAGGTCAGTATTCCGACACAACACCCTCTGTGCTATGTCTGTGATATGTGTGTGTGTGATATATGTTGTATGTGTGTTGATTTGTGATGGAATGTATACCGTGTGTATGTGATGTCTATTGTGTGTGTAATGTTTTGGTGCTGTGTGTATATGATGTGATGTGTGTTGAGTGCAGTGTGTGTATGATGTATTTTGTGTGTGTGTGTGATGTGATGGTGTGTGTATACAGAAAGTGTGTATTTATGACTGGTGTAGAGGGGATTGTGCATGTTTGCCTGTGTGTATTTTTTGGAATGTGTGTGTGTGTGATATGTATGGAGGGTTGTACATGTTTGGGTTTGTGTGATGTGTGTGCATGTGTGTACTGTGCATGTTATGTGTTGGAGTTGTACATGTTTGGGTTTGAGTGGTGTGTGTGTGTGTGTGTGTGTGTGTGTGTGTGTGCGCGCGCGCGCGCGCGCATGCATGCACTGTGCATGTTTGGGTATGTGGGTGCATAAAGAGACCAGAGAAAAGCCTTGGCTGTTCTTCAGGTGGTGTCCTTGGCCTTGAGACAGGGTTTCCCACTGTCCTGGAACTGTCAAGTAGGCGAGCTGGCTGGCCATTGAGCCACAGGGGTCCTTTTGTCTCTGCCTCCTCTGGGCTCGCTTTGCAAGTGTGTGTGCCAGGGATGGGGCAGGCACTTCATCTGCCTAGCCCTGTTCTGTGTCTTTAGTGTAACTCTTCTGATTTTATCCTACTTTAGGTCCCGGACATTGACCAGTTAGTGCTTTTTTTTACTAGGTCTGTTGGGTCCCGGGTGCTGAGCCAAGATATGACCTCCTTAGGTTCTCCAGGCAAAGCTTCCTTCCTTCCTTTCTCTGCTCGCCAGCCCCTTTTTCTTAATGTTTAACTTATTTTTTTCCCAACTTCTAGCACACTATTCTTATAGGTTATAGTTTTTCAACAGCTGCCTATGGCCTTATCTCTCCCACTTTTGATTTCTCTTCCCCAGAGGGAGCCACTCCACCCTTGTGTGTAAAACCAGTACATACATACTTACATACACACACACACACACACACACACACACACACATACATACATACATACATACATACATACATACATACATACATACATACATACGTCTTTTTGCTGGGGAAGCTAAAATCTAAGCCATGGGTCTTTTTCGTCCTCCCTGTGCTGTCTCAGATGAAGTCAGATTCTGTGTTTACATGCAGCTCTGAATATTATTACAGCCTGAGCTTCTACAGTGGCAGTTTCTTGTATGCATTTGTTTAATTTCGTGAGCATCTGTAGCTCATTCACTGGGGAGAACTGAATGTCTCCTGAGCTGTTTGAGCATGCAGGTTTCTGTTGCTTTCATTCTTTTTCCCTCAGAGCTCCTTCTCCTGGGACTCCGCCTTCCTGTCAGGACACAGGCCTCCAGGTTGGCATTCTCAGCACTCCACTATACCAGGGTTCCCTTTTTTTGTCCCTTGTTGGAATCTGTGTTTTCCTCTTTTGTCATTTACCTGCCCATTTTGGTGGCATTTCAGTCATTCCATGAAAGGGCACATGAGCAGTAACATTTATTTAGAATCTGCCCTAATAAAAATGTACTTTTTTTTTTCTTTCTTTTTTTCTTTTTGTTGTTGTTGTGTTTGATAAGTTGGTTTATTAGGTACAAGTCTAAGTTGAAAATGATGGTCCTTAAAGTTTTGCAGGTATTTCTCCCTGAGTTCTAGCTTCTAGAGTTTCTGCGGGGACCCCATTGACCACATACCTGAGAAGAGTACCTTGAATGGCGAACGGTTTATTTTGGCCCATGGTTTCAGAGATGGCAGTCCATCAGGGCAGGGAGAACTGGTGGGGCAGAGCAGTTTACCTTACAGGAAGCAGAGAAAAGCGGATACAGAGAAGCAGGTGAACGATAGCCTCAGGAACATACACTTCATGATCCACTTCCTCCAGCTGGCTTCACCTCTTACCTGTCCCCAGCTCACACGCCACCAGCTCTCACGCCACCAGCTCTCACAGCTCACACACCACCGCCATCGATTCACACAGTCATCAGTGACTGAGCAGCCCTGTGTTGCACAGGCAGAGCTAAGTGTTGGTGCTGGAATTTACTATTGGACCCTCTTTTTCCTTCTTACCTTTTTAAACTGTCATTTGCTGTGAGCTGCTCTGGTTTCAAGGGCTAGGCCTTCGTGGTAGCCCTTTACTCTGTCAACTCATGAGTTCCACTTCTGCAACATTTTTGATAATTTTTTCATCCAAAACATCTCACAGCATTCTTTCGGAAGCTATTGCTCAGGTGTCCCACTTTCTGCGCTGATCTTCCTACTTTCTTCTCTTATTCTCATTTTTCCTCCTTCAACTTTTCTGTTGAAATTTATATTTCTACTGATTTTTTTTAAGTTTGAATCTTTCTGTCATGTGTTTGTCTTAGTTACTGGTCTGTTGTAAAAGAGATCGTTTAATTGGGGCTTTAAGTTTCATAGAGTTAGTCCATTATCATGGCAGGAAGCATGGTGGCAGGCCGGCAGACATGGTACTGGAGTTAGAGCTGAGTCCAGATCCACAGGCAGCAGGCAGAGAGACACTCTGGGCCCGGTGTGGACTTTTAAAACCTCAGAACCCACCCCAGTGAAGTCTCTTTTATTTCTAAGGGGCTTCAGTCTGGATGTTAGTTACTTTTATTTTTGTTCTCTTTCTCTTCTCAGTTTGATTATAGTTGGTGATAGTTTCCTCACATTGGTGAACCCATTCAGCAAGGCGCTGGATTGCCAGTTGTGAAACGCTGGCATGCGCTCTACCTTTTGCACATCTCCTTTTTTTCTCATGGTCCCATCATTCCCAGTGTGGTCCTCTGCCATTGGGAGAGTTAAGGCCTGCTGTTTGCTCTCCAAGACCAAACAATGCCAGCCGTCTTGGGAACTCACTGTTTGGCACCTGATTTTGCCTAGTTGTTTTGTTGCAGTGAGGCGTCCTAGAGCTGTGTGTGGAGGCTGCAGAGGTAAGCCTCCGCTTCATTCACTGTTGACCTTCTGCCCTGTTTGGGCGGATGGCTTAGGGCTGCTCATTTCAGCCCCCTTAGCATCTATCTCACTTGGATGTGTAGGTTATGTGAAAAGACTTTCAGTCGTCCTGAGCTGAATGTAGGCTTCACTCTTCGTTCCTCTGGCTCCTCCTCTTTCCCCTTTCCATGACACATAGCAAACAGATAAAGTGGGGCGGGAAGAAGCCAATCAGAACATACTACCTCACACTGAGGGTAGCTTTAGTTTTGACTTAATTATTTTATATTTTTATTTTCCCCTCTTATTATAGTGTATATGGATCTCTGTAGCATAAATTTCTGGTGTTTATGTAGCCTATGTCCTGTTTTTTGTTTTTGTTTCTTAAAGGATTTTTATGTAGGACCCCACCCCCCATATTTTCTGTTGCGTTCAGTCATTTTTATAGTTTATTTCTATTTTAAAGAACTAAGTTAAAGCCAAACCTCCTGCCTCAGATCTGCTAGGCAGGCTTTAATATTTGTTGCACAGTCCTTAAGTCTGAAGCCAGAAAAGCAGTGGCTTCGCTGAGATTTGATGCTAAATTTATGTTTAATTACAGTAAAATTTCGGACAGAATTGTAACTGGAACCTACACTGATCTGTGGGCCCTGTAGGGGGCAGCAGACACCCTCCTAACTGAGTACAGCTTACACATACCCATGTCCTCACCTCACTCCTGGAGGAGGGCGAATGGTGGCACCATTAAAGGGATTTTTGTCTTCTCAAATTCTTAAAGAAAAACTGACTTCTGCGAAGCATTTTGCTTCTGTATTTTAAGAAGAAATAAGCTGAGCATGGTGACGCATACCTGTAATCATAGTATTCAGGAGGCTGAGGCAGGCTTGGGCTTCATAGTAAGTCCCTGTCTCATAAAACCAGACAGGGAAGAAGAGATATGTTCTAGGCTTTTCCCCTCAAGCCTATGTGATGAATCAAATTTAGTCTCCTATGGCTTAATGCTTCAGTGAAACTCCCTTTTGAAGAATGTTTAAATGTGTGTATAAAGTGCTACTAAGAAAAGCCAGTGAGAAAAGCGAAAAAAAAATTATTGCTCACAAGTAAATTAGGACACAAAGTGTAAATACAGAAGTAGCTTTAATGTGAATTAATGCAGGAGGAGAGAGAAAAGGAGAGGGGAAGGAGAGAGAAACAGACACCACAAGCAGGGATTTAGGCAAGATTTTCTGAACCAAGCTTGAGTTTAACAGACCTTTATCTGTGTTTTGAAGAACAGACACCTGTGATTTGGGAATTGAAGCTCCAGGCCTGTAACTATCTCTTAGTCGAACTAGGAACTTTGCTGAATCTCAAATAGCCAGCATCTTCACCTCCTCTGCTGGTCCTTGGGCAACTAGATACAGTTCTTCAGTGTGTGCTACATTGAACTGTTGTCACTCGGAGTTTATATCTGTTCCCAGCATTACTCATTTGCTTGATGTGGATTCCATCCAGAATGGAGGCATTGTCCTGAGATTGAACGTGTTTGCTCAGTCATAGGGACAGGCCTCTGCATATTCTGTCCAGCTGGTAATAGGCTGGGCCCTTCTTCCCTGTGACACACTGTCACTCCAGCTGTGACAGTCCTCCCTAGAGCCACCTTGCGCCACAGAGAACAGCAAGTGTTTCCTTACTGTGCTTTGCCAATGGAGATGAATATTCTACAGGTAGAAATTCATTTAGAATATAGATTGATCTTCGCCTAAAACAAACGAATTTGTTCGAAGGTAGAAGAATGATAATTATTTGTAAATTGGGGTTTATAAGACTTCTTTAGTGCAAATGGATATTGATTTGTATATTTCTCCCACTTTCAGCCCCTGGAGACCCGGCTTATTTCAGAGACCACAGGTGTTTGCAAACCAGAGCAGGTGGCCAAACAAATTGTCAAAGATGCCATAGTAAGTAAAACCCTGGTGTCACCTTTTGCACTGTTTGTATTTATGGGGCATTCTGAAGAGCATGCAAGAGCTTATTTCAAAGCAAAGCATGCTTTGAACAGATTTTGGTCAGATTTGCCTAACGTTAGCCTCCCCTTAGACTTTCTGTTGATTTCCTGTTAGCTGAGGGATGAATCATGCAATAGTAAGAGAGCATCAGCTCCCAGAAAGCCGATAGCCACTGCGTAAAGACTGTCACCGGCTCTCCATTTTTAACTTTAATTTTACTGTGTGGATGTGGATGTTGCCTTCGTGCAGGAAGGGTTCTCTCCTACCATGTGGGTGCAGGGGATTGAACTCAGGTCATCAGGCTTGGTGTCCACTTTTTCCCTTCCCACACTTTGAGATCTTCTACAGACTTCGTTGCTGTGCTCAGGATGGGTTTTTCTTTCCCCTCCTGTTCCCTGGTCCCACTTTCCTCATGTTCCAAGATAAAACGGTGTGCTGTGTCAGGCCGCTGCGCCCACCATACCCCATGATGTGCCTCCTCATCCATTGTGGAACACTGTGCCACAGCCTTTCTGACCACAGTCTGAATAGTCCACGTGTAGAACAAGGGTTGACCTAAGGGATGTGCATAAACTCAGTAACCTGTGTGGCTTTGGGAAATCTGGGCTCTATTGCCATGAGAGGTACCCAGACAACATGGTGCAGCTTCTAGGGAAAAAAGATGCTGTGCCAAGCTCAGTGGAACAGAATAACAGCAGCTTCAACCCACAGACCCAAAGGGCTAGTGAGGCCACTCAGTGGGTAAGGGGACCTGCCTCCAACCCTAATAACCTGAGTTCTTCAGAATCCAGGAGGGAGAGAGCTGACTCCCTCAAGTTTTCCCCTGGCCTCTCCATACATGCTGTGGTGCACACACGTAAACAAACAAACATACATTGAAAGAAAAGAAATAAAAGAGAGAGAACAGGTCTGGAGAGATGGCTCGTTAAGTTGTGAAAGCACAAGGAACTGAGTTCAGATCCCCATCTCTGACATAAAAAAACCAGTGCGGTTGCAACTGTCTGTAACGAAGCCCTGCATGTACAGAGAAAGGTGATTTCCAGCCAGCTTTTCCAGTGAGAGCCGAGCCGCAGCCACTCAGAGGCCCTGCGTGGACAGAGAAAGGCGATTGCCAGCCAGCCCTTCCAGTCTGAGCCTGGCCGCCGCCATTTAGAGACCCTTTTGTAAAGATAGGGGTGGAGTGATTGGATGGCCTTTGGTCTCCACACGTATGCCCGCATACATGCACACAGGGTAGGGAATAGTTGCCTTGGCTGCCTTTAGTGGCACAGAGCAGTGCCATGGGGGCCACGATCAGCTAGTTTGCTTTTCTCTCTCAGGTCAAAACAAACCCTCAAGTCTTTTTTTTTTTTATTTATTTTTCAAGATTAAACAGAAAAGTGTGTGTGTGTGTGTGTGTGTGTGTGTGTGTGTGTGTGTGTGTGTGTATAAGTGCCTGTATGTGTGCAGGTACACTGTGTGTGCTGGTACAGTGCCCAGGAAGGCCCAAAGCGGACATTGGAGCCCCTGGAACTAAAGTTACAGGAGTTGTGTTGCCTCATGATGATGCTGGAAGCCTATGAGCCTCCATAAGAGCAGCCAACACTCTCAGCCACTGGGCAAGCCTCCTCACCAGCCCTACCATCAGGGTTTTTAATAATCCCAAATAGAGCTTCCACTTTGGGCAAGATTCATCTCCTGAGGTAGACTTCAGACTTCTTCTCCTGAGCCCATTATATTTTTATAAGTTAAATTATTGACACCAAAAGAAAAAAGTTTTGTCTGGGCTGTATTTCTTTCTTGTTTGCTTCTTTGTTGTCTTTTCAAGTCAAGGTCTCACCATGTAGCTCTGGCTGTCCTCGAACTCACTCTGTAGACTAGGCTGGCTCTGAACTCACAGAGATCTGCCTGCCTCTGCCTCCCGAGTGCTGGGATTAAAGGTGTGTGCCACCACACCTATATTTCTCAGTACTTGCCATAATAGATACTGAAACTGTAGATTTTAAAATGCCTGGTTGCAGTCCTGGGGAGAATGGCTCAGTGGTGAGTGCTAGGCGAGCATGTGCATGGTCCTGGGGTCCCCCGCCAGCACCACCAGAGCGTGATGGGAAGAGACAGGAGACAGAGTCATCGGAAACCCAAGCAATAGGGACTGGAGAGCTGGCTCAGCGGTTAAGGGCACTTGTTGCAGAGGATCTAGGCTCAGTTCTCCCCACCCACATGGAGGCTCACCACTTTCCTCAGGCAGCAGGCGGCATGTGTGTGCACACACAGACACATACAGCACACACACAAATCTAAAATAGGAGAAACAGGAAATAATAAAACTGAAATAAGTTCTACCACATTTTTAAACAATTTATTTGTTCTTTTAATGTGTTTGCGCCTGAGTGTGTGTGTGTGTGTGTGTGTGTGTGTGTGTGTGTGTGTGTCTATGCAATGCCTGCAAAGGCCAGAAGAGAACATCACATTCCTTGGAACTGTAGTTACAGGCAGCTGTGAGCTTCCCTCTCTTTTACCTACTTATGTTTTTTTTTAATGTTGTTTATGTGTGTGCTGTGTATGTATGTGTGATATATGTTAGTGTGCTGTGTGAAGATAGACGTCAGAGACAAATCTGGGGAGTCGGTTCTTTCTTTACATTGGGTTCTGGCCATCAAAATCAGATCCTCATACTCAAGTGGCAAAAGCTTTTGTAGTTTCTTAAATGCACGGCTCCAGTAGCTTCAGACTCAAACCTGCAGTTGAGAATGACCTTGAACTCCTGACCCTTCTTCCTCTTCTCAAGTGCTGATGTTACAGGCATGCACTACCATGCCTGGCTGAAAAATAACTATTTTCTAACAAAAATTCAGTGAGAAGAGTGCTGCTGTGTTTTCATTAGCCTCTACAAGTCTGCATTAATGGATGCCAGCTGGATTCTCAATGTCCGCTTCTGTGGCCAGTCTGTTAAAATACATCCTTTTTTGAAACGTGAAGAAATTCTGACTTTAAAAAGAGACGTAGTTGGGAGAGGATGAAGACTTCACTAAGCTTTTTAAATAATTATGGGCATAATTTTCTTAATTTTTTAAAAATATTAACCCCCCCCCCAACTTGACAAATAGGGGTTTCTCAAACGTTGGTTGCAATGTGAAATTAGAAATTGCACCAATGAACTTTTTGTTCTGTGTGACATTAAAATCTGAGTCTCGCATGAATGATGAATGGATCTTTTACTCACTCATCATTTGAAAACATGCATTAATCATTTGGAAAATACGGAATCCATGAGCTATCAAAAGTCACATTCATCAGAGATCAGGGAAATAATCAGAAACACAACAGTCTCATGCTGCTAGATAAAGTTTTCATAATTCTTAATTTTTCCCTAAAAGTTCAGATTTTATTATCACCCACATATGTATTGTATGGTTTTCCTAAAAGCCGCAAATTTACTTCATTCATCTGCCCCATTTATGCCTCAAACCCAAGTCAGGAAGTTCAGCTCAGCCATTCCAAGAGGCCTTTTCTTCAAGGTGTCAACCATCCTTTAGTAGTCCCAGTTAAGCAGAAGCAGTTGGAGTGAATTTCTTTTTGTCACAGGAGAAACAGGAGCCCTCCTCCTGGTGTTCTATAGGAGATGGACCAAGACGAGCCTAAATGTAGGATGGTGCTTGTGTATGCTGTGTCTGGAAAAGCTTAGCTGGGGATGGGGCTCAGTTGGTAGAGTGAAAGTGTAGCATGCCTGAAGCCCTAGTTCCTCCCTAGCCACATAAACTGAGTATGGTAAAATACACCTGTAATCACAGCACTGTGGCGGAAGCAAGAGGATCAGAAATTCAGGGTCATCCTCAACTACCTGGGGAGATCCAGGATACCCTGAAACCTTGTCTCGAAAACAAACAAACCCCAGATCAGTTTAATTAATGGAGTAAGCCCTTGACTATATCAATGAACAAAGAAGAGACACATATCTCAGGCCTGACAGAGCTGGGCAGCCCAAGATGCCAGTGCACTGTGCAGACAACATGCACTTGAACACTTAGGAATCCCTTGTGTCTGGGACTTCACACTTGCCCTTTCAGACCTTGGTTAACTGTAGCTAAGGGAGGGTAATGGGGAAACTTGTATGGAGGAGAGATGTCCTCAGGGGCCGCAGTTTAATAAAATGATTCAGGTGTTTTAAGTAAGATGTGTCTTCAAGTTCCTAAAAACTGTTTTTATGTTGTGTTTTCTCTGTTGCTACGGTAGCAGTGGCAATATACTGCATTCGTGCCACTGGCCCAAACTAACAAAAACTCTGGTTTACCCCGTGGCTGTTTTGTGCATCAGTACAAAGGTGGAGAGCGGCTAATGTCTCAGTATTATTTGACAGTGGTATTGTGCCTAGGAACCCTCAAAGGGTCTGGAACCCACAGGGATCTGTGGACTCTTTCAGAACCGGATATGCGCTAAGTCTGTGTGTCCATTGTTTTAGTTCTGGTATATTCTAAGTTGCAATCCCCATGTAAAGTGAAGGGGCGTACTTCATTGTTTCTCCAGTGTTGAAGGGACTCCTTTAAGCTTACCCCAGACCACTCTTCTGCTTGCTTCTTTTTTTTTAGCAAGGGAATTTTAATAGTTCCATTGGCTCGGATGGGTACATGCTGTCCTCCCTGACCTGTGGCATGGCACCAGTGACTTCCATCACTGAAGGACTCCAGCAGGTAAGCCCTTTCTTTGCCAGCAACCACATGGACATACAGACTGACAAAATGGATGGAATGACAAGACAAACCTCATTCAGCTTCTGTGAGAAAAAAGATTTAGAGTAGAGTGCAATAATTTTAAACATAAGAGTCTTTTTCTTTCTCTACCAATAATAAGTAGACATTTGGGCTAAGGGTATATACTGGGTAGAAGTGAGGTACCAGGCCCTGCAGTGGATGAAGGGCTGTCTCTGTTGTTGAGTGTTCACCCATGTCTTCAGTAAAGAATCCATGATCTAAAGTGTTCAAAAAGTAATAGTTGATGTGGAATTGTGTGGGGGTAGCATTGTTCTTTAGACATTACATTAGAAATGCTTTTCTAGTGTAGCAAGCCACTGATAGCTAAGCTGAGGACACTCTAGTAGCAACAGAGACACCCTGTCCTTAGTAGTTTGATCCAGTACCCATGAAAGTTCAACTCTTAGAATTCAATTTTAATTTCTTTTTTTAAAAAAAATATATGTGTGTGAGTGGTTGGCCTGCATGTGTGTAAACCATGTGTGTGCAGTGCCCGTGGCAGCTGCAAGAGAACACTGGGTTCCCTGGAACTGGATTTACAGAGTTGTAAGCTGCCAGCTAGGTGCTGGGAATTGAACTCAGGCCCTCTGGAGGAACATCATGTGTTCTTAACCACTGAACCATCTCTCAGGCCTGAAAGTTTAGTTCCTGTTGATACAGTTACCTGTCTTCCCCAGCGACTTAGGTGTAAAAGGGTTTGCTAACCCTTGAGGAGTTTGCTGTGGGTGAGGTAATGCTGATAGCAGATGAATGATTAGAGCTACAATGGAAGGAATGTTTGGGATCACAAAGCCAAGGATCATTGTGGACAGAGCGCTGGGGTCTGTAACGATTTGTGTAAGGTACATTCAGATAACTCCCGAGGCGTTTTTCGTCTGGCCCTTTCCTAACCTTGTGTCTGGTTCTGAAATGCACGCCCTGTCATATGGTTGTCTAACAGTAAACATTGTTAGGTATAAGATCATTGGGGACAGGACCCATGTCACTCTTGTCACTGTACCCAGCAGCCAGCACCTACACAAAACAGGAGTTCTAGGATGCCCAAGTTGGGTCAGAGCATAGAGCCTGCCCCTGTCCACCAGCAGTCTCGTCCTTTCTTACCAATGCCACTTCACAGAAGTGATGCCAAGTGTAATACCTTTGTTTCATTTGAGTTGACACTGAAGCCCACGTTTACACTCTGGGTCACTCCTGTGTCTACTAGTCATGTGTCCACTGCTTCAGGGCCATGTGGCATCATGCCACTCCTCTGAAGCTCTCCCGAGAGACACCTCTTTCATCTGCTCCCGAGACCCTGGCTCCTCTCCTCTTTTTACTTGTTTGCCCTTTCCCACCTTCCGTTTAGTTTTCTCGGAAGTCCCCCTTACGCTCACTCATACCCTTACCTGAGGCTTTCTGAGAAAACGGCCTCCTCAGCCTGTCTGTGTGCTCATCTCTGAGACAGCCACTCCTGTGTCAGCAAAGCCTCCATTCTCTGACCACTACCTGGGGTGTGCTCCCGCATCCTGTTGCATCATGTTGTTGCCATTAGCCTGGAGCAGGAGGGCTGGCTCTGCTGCACACTCTCCTCCCCTTGCTCCTGTCCCTGCACAGCTGGTTTATCATCATGCTTAGATCTGTACTTGACAAAACTTTTTTGGCTTCACGGCCGAATGTTACAGTCTTACTCTTTGTCCTTTTCTGTTATTTTTCCCTTAAGTTTTTTGAAATGATGACCTTGAACAAAGAGGCAAGTTCTGACCTTCTTGCGTCTTCCCTCTATGTGCTGTGATCTCAGGTGGATGCCATCAGGCCTATTTTATTTTAGTGCTAGGAATGGGAGCCAGAGCTGCTTACATGCTAGAAACACACTTAGGCAGCTGAGCCGCATCCCCAGCCTGTTATTTTATTGTCACTTCATTGCTGGCCTTGCCCCTGAGATATTTGCAAATTTCAGAACACCGGATCACATGATAGTGTTAACTTTGGTGACCCCTCACTTTCTTATCTTACTCTCTTTGGAAAAAGAAACCTGGGAGACAGTGCTTTTTCAGTCCTTGCATATCTGCAAATGTGTATTTTTCCGTGAGGCTTTGGAGTTGCTGTAGTGAGAGTCTGTCACTGGGAAGGATGGTGGCCATGGGTAATGCTGCCTTGTCCCCAAGACAGGGATTCCTTTCTTCCTTGATTCTCTTCCCATTATAAGCCGGGTGCGTGCCCACCGTCATCACAACGTCTTAGAAGGCTGAGGCCAGAGGATCACTGGTGATGAGGAGCTGGGACCAGTCTAAGCCACATACTGAGACTTTGTCTCAACAAATAAACAAGTCAGTTCAGATAGGAGTGGAATATACATTTCTCACTTTACTGACCTCAGCACCCAGCAAAAGGGCTCAGTACTCAGAACATAAGCTAGCCAAAACCTCCTGAATCTGGTGTGGCTATCTGGAGTGCTGGGGTGCACATCCCTAGGCCTTATAACCCTGTCTTCTGAGAATACCCATTTTGTTCTTTGTATGGTTGGATTTTGTTAATTCAGACAAATATTGTTGACTGTCTGGCCAGCTCAGACTATCCAGTGTACAAAGCAGACGTATTCTGTTCTTGGGAATTACTGGCATTTACAAAGTTTTCATTATACTTGTTCTTAGAGAAGATTAGATGTGTCCTAGAAACTGTTTAGTAGAGACTAAACTACTTTAAAATGGGCTATTGTACTGTCCTGTTCGATGAGCTGAAAGGTCTCCCTTTATCTTGCAGGTGGTCACCATGGGCCTTTTCCGAACAATTGCTTTGTTTTACCTTGGAAGTTTTGATAATATAGTTCGCCGCTGCATGGTGCAGAAAGCAAAACCTGAAATCGTAGACAAAACTGCTTAATTCTTGCCCCTCGGACAAAGACTGAATGCAGTGATTTGAATACTGTGCTGCTAAAGGAACTCGATTTTTGGCCTCCAGACTCAGTGTCTTGTTTTTGAATGTGTCAGAGTGGACCCAGTGCTGTTTGGAAATCTGGCTGCAAGCAGAGGGGCAGAAGTTCGTCTCTACAGTATTACCGTCAACACTATGCAAATGTGGACCAGGGCACCATTTGGTTTCTGGGTCTTTGAGGTAGAGCGCTGAGAGCGTGAGAACGAATAGCAGGAAAACAGGGTAAAGAATGGAATTCCAGGATGGCAAATTCAGTCTTTTCATTTATCCTCCCTCTGGCCCATAGGGATCAAGAAATGCACTTTGTGGCACATTAACTTTTGAGAGCTTTTGATTTTTGGTTTTTAATTTTTCATGAAAGATGGTCTGGGTTTTAATCTTCAAAAATTTTTTATATAATTTTTCAGTGTATGTTAGTCAAGGTGTGTCTTCCATGATGTAGCCCGAGTCTGGCCCTCAGCACCTCTGTGCGGTGTTTGGGACTCCCTTCTGCTAGTGAAGCTGGCTTCTCTCTCTCTTTGATCCCGTAAGATGCAAGGGGGATGAGAGAGCAGCACAGAGGAAGGCAAGGGATGAGTCCTTTGTGAAGGCAAATCAGGTGTCCTTGTCTTCTTAAGACTAATGCTTAGAACGTTTTCATTTTTCACTCATGGGGAAAGGCAGCCTCTTTACATGTTTTCTGAAGAGAAATAAAATTTCATAGAAGTTTAAAAGTTTACAGTTTCTTCAATAGCCATGATGACCTGAAGTTCACAATTCCATTCCAGCTCAGCCTCTCTGTTTTTATCTCTCTTTCTAGTTTTAATTATTCTGTAATGTTTTTGTTTAAAACAAAACAAAACAAACAAACAAAAAAAAAAAACAAAGGAAAACAAAAGATGGAGACCAACACAGATTTTTTTTTTGACTTGGCTTTTTAAATTCATGAATTCATTAAAGTAAAAAAAAAAAAAATTTAAAAGCATGGCATTCATATCCTCACAGCATACTGTAACTTTAGGAAAGGTTGTGTATTTTTCAGTCTTATTACTCTGAAAAGATGACTGATTTTTGAAGATCCTCTCTTGGGAAGTGAGGTGTTCAGCTGCTCTGTCTTTCACAGAGACTCTGAGCAGCATCTTTAGCATGGTAAAAAGTTTCTCGCCCTCTGGCTGCATGCAGCCTGTGGGCATGTGCTAGGGGTTGCAGGTCTGCCATTCCTTGAGTGAATCTGTGTCAAGTGCCTATGATGAATCCAGCCTCTGTCCCCACTCATTCTGTCCATTGGACAGCTCCCAGTCCTGTCCTCCTTATATACAAAGTACTGCATTCCAATTTAGTACCTCTACGCTCAAAGGAAAACCTAAGTGTTATAAAACAAAAAACAAACAAAAAGTGTTTGACAACTTAGAAATTACTGCTATGACAAACTTTTTTTTCCCTCTTTTTCTTTCTTTCTTTTAAAAAGATGGGTTTAACCTCTGTGTGGCTTGGTCTTCTGCCCCAGCCACCCGAGTGCTGGCAGTACAGTTTTGCACCACCATAGTCTATGAGCCAAGCATTTTTGCTCTCTGAAATAGCCAAACTCTTGACTTTATCGTGACTTAGATTTTAACTAATAAGATATTTAATGGCTCCATTTTTATCAAGATCTGAGAACATATTTTAGATATTGTTACAGAAGATACTCTTTATTATATGCATTGCTTGTTATAACTTCATTGCTGTTTACAGGAGTAGGTTGATAATGCCAAGATAGTTCCAAGACCCCTCCAGTCCGATCTAGCCAAAGTTTGCAACTTCGGTCACATTGGACGGGTTCCTGATGAAAGAACTGCATTCCTATGTGGACAGTTTCTAACTTTATTTTCCTATAAATGTTCTAAGACAGTTGGCACTTTCCACTATTCTGTTAAAATCTAGGCCAAGAGGGCATCAGACACAGTACAGTTAGCTTTTTCATTGTACCATTTTCAGACAGTCCTTAGCTAGAGGATGACTGTGTGGATCATGCCTGAAACAAATTGAAGAGCCTTGTGTCATGGTGGGCGGTGCTGACCCTAGCCCAGGTTAAATCAGGCTTGCAGGGATCGTGATGCCATGGCAGGAATCTTGTCCAAGGTGTTAGAGGCCTCAGCACCCTTACTCACAAAAGTTTGAAATGGGCTTTATTTTTTTTCTTCTAAAGTTGATTCCATAAGTACAGATGAACTTGATGTGGGAATATTGTTTTTCTTTGTGTCACATCAGCATAATGTACCTGTCTGTTGACTTTACCAGGCTCCATGCAAATACCCTGTACCTCAGCACAATACCCTGTACCTCAGCACGTGCTCTACGTTACCTTTGAAAAGTCCAGCTGATTGTGAACTCTGAAATAAGTGCGTGGAATGCAGCGTTTCAGCAGTGCCCCAAAAAGGTGTGATCTTATCCCAGATGTGGAAGTATCACATTTTTCTGCTCACAAAAAGAATGGTTGCTGGGATTGGGAAGCAATTGTCCAAATGCTAGGGGAATCATCAACTCCTCCCCGCTCCCCCCCCCCCTCCCAGCCACCCACCCAGAGTTGAACACATGCCATTCTTTACCTCGTGCTAACGCTTAGGCTTCTAGTTCTGTTACACTGTTTCCTCTGCGTGACCATAAGTTTGTGTGTGTCAGTTCTGAATGTCTGTGCTATTAGTTTGGGTAATACTGTTTTATTGTAGTATATCCTTAAGTTTCTCTGAAAATTATTATCATTCTGCTATATAAATTCCAACATATATTTAGGGACTCTTTGTAATTGAGAGTGAATAGGAAACAATCCTCATTTATTTATTAAAGAAAAAAAGGTCATGGACTAGGGAAGTGATTGTGTGGGAGGGTGTGTGCCTGGTGTGTAGGGCAAAAACATTTTTTATCAAAATTGTTTACTCTTATAGTTTTAAAGTTTAGTAATTTGCACAGGTGATGATTTAGAATGTTGTTGTGGTCTCTTTCAATTAATATTTACATATGATTGAATGGTATGTATTTATCTGGACCTTTTAAACTACATATTGATTCCTGAAAGCAAAACCTTTAAGATCAATTTCTGATAACTGATGAGAACATTTTTATAACAGTTGCTCCAATTCAAAGGATCATTTGTCTTTCTAGAAGGCTGTACAGTGAATTATGTCATCATATTTAAGTTTATTACATTGTGTTCTAATTGAAATGTGTCTTGGTCACAGTTAAATTCATACTTTTTGCTAGAAGATGTTTGTGTCTTTCTTATATCCCTTAGTCCTTAGGATCTCAGCTTTAAAGGCCCCTGTTGACTGCCACCCTCCAGTTCTGGACTGGAGCCTGCTGATCTGATCTTGCTAGATTAATGGAGGGCTGTGGGCTTGATATCTTGAAAAGGAGAGAACTGCCGTTATATTTTATATTTGTTTGAGGCATGAACTCTTAAGACGTTGACAAAAAGCACATAGCTGTTTTGATACATGTTAGGACAGGGTTGCTACTTTAAAAGCCTTTGTGGGAGTACAGTGGCACGGTGGTACTGTAGGGTGGTACTGTAACAAATGTGGCAGTACTGTAACATAATTGTAATATCTGAATTGTTTAATTACACACACACAATAAGTGGGAAACAAGCTTTACTGATCTGAGAATTTATTTTTCTAGGAATTTGTCTTTTTGAAGATACTTAATCAAAATAGAAAAGTCTTTTATAATGATGTCTGTTGGCTTCCTAGGCATTGCCCAAGACCTGGTTTTTATTATTTTTAGGAAATAATATTTTTACGATATATACTTAGGAGTCTAAACATTTATTTCAATTATGGTCTGTTTGTGTGAGTAAAAGCTTAAGAAATATGGAATTTAATAAAGCTTTTTGAACAGTTACATTTCATATGCAAATAGATTTTCTGACCCTTGATCCTGCATATTCTGTGAACTCTGTCTAAGCTGTAAGGAGACATGCTTGCTCACACTGAGAGGATGTTCTTTAAAGGCCTTTTTAATTGCAGGTATTCCTTTGCTGCTTTTCCTCACTTTAAGGGGGAAATGTTCAATTATCTCACTACTGTATGTAAGACAACTGGTAAGATTTTCATAGATAACATTTCTTAGGTTGACAGTATCTCATTTCCTATTTGCTGCAAGTTCTTTCATATTTTTTAATTAATATGTCTGTTAAATTTTACTATGTACATTTTCTTCATCTGTGTGTTGATTATATAATTTTCTTCATACTTTTAAATTACTCTTATTTGTTACACTCAATGATGAGCTTTATAAAGATGTTTCATTAAGTATATTATTTTGGGGGAATCTTGAATTGCAAGCTGAACGTTTCTTTAAATTTGAAAATTTTATCTTCAAATGACATGTGATATCACTTCGATAATTTGGATGTTTGAATGTTTAGAAGAAAAATTATTTCTTGATTTCCACTTCACTAATGAGTTTATGTAAACCCCAATTTTTCCTTGATTTACATACATTGGTTGAATTCCAATGGTGAGCCTGCTGGCCAGGTACCAGGGATATCACCTGTGTACTTTTCCTGCCCCTTCTGGTGACTGTAGTCCTTTCTTCTTCTCTACCCCCTCACCCCTTTGGTGTCTGCAATATCCTTATCTCTATCTCTTGTTATATCCTTATGCTATATGTCTTCCTAGAGGAAGAGAAACCACCATCACTCACTTCTTTGGGTAGAAGCTATTTAGTTTTATGTCACAAAGATTTGGATGTCAAGTGCTTTTGTAGGCAAGGAATATACCAAAGATAGTTTCTTCCCTCATGTGATTGATAATCTAGTAGGGAATAGCCAGAAAGTGTACTGTGACTGACAGGAAGTTTGATTAAGCTATTTATGGTGATGAGTACAGAACAGATAAGTTTTAAGGCATTCACTGTTGAGCTCTTTAATCTTCATGAAACTATACGTCTGAGCGTACTACGAGTAACAGTCATTATAGATGAGGGAACGGGTGTTAAGAGGTTCATTAGCCAGCTCAAGATCACAGCTGTCAAATCAGTGGAGCCAGGATTCTACCTCAGGCTTCTGTATTTTCAGCTCTTAGCGTCTAAAACAAACCACGTCTACAGAGTATGGGTGGAGTCTGAAGGCTTTCTGTAGCAGTCGGGGCTGGTTTCATAGAAGTGTTTGAGCTGAAACTTAAGGAACTGATAGGAATTTTCGAGATGGGAAGTTGGGTTTGTTTTAAAGAAAGGAACAGAATGTGGGGGCAAAAGATGCGAAGAAACTTATCGGACACAGCGCAGTGGTAGAGTTCTTGCCTGGCATGTGAGAGGCCCTGGGTTTGATCCCCTGAACTGCCAAAGGGAAAATAAGGACAAAGAAGACAAGAAAGCCATGAAAAGTTAATACAGCTAGGAGAAGGGCAAGGGAGAGGCAGGACTGGGAAGATGGGGTCAGAAAGGAATGAGAGTGTAGCCTTTGAACTCCACTGAGCAGAAGTGAACTAGATTTCCGTTTCAGAAAGGCTGTGGTGTCCCTTGGAATTCCATGTTAATGTTGCCTCAGCCTTACAGATTGAGGCTTGTAATCGTCATCTGTTTGAAAGACACCTCATTAAAGACATAATATCACCTCAAAAGATGTTGAAGTGCTTGGCCTTTAGAAATAGGGTTGGTCTTGGTGTCCTCAGGTGAGGACACGGTTATTAGGCTTAAACAGTATGACCATATGAAAATAGTAGGAAAGGGAGCTACACAGGAAGGATGACATCTTGATAGAGATGGAGGGAGGTAGCAGAAGGCCAGGAGCATCAGTGACTGTCATCAGTTGGTCACCAGGCGACTAAGAGACTAAGAGACAAGGAGAGACCTCAGCCTCTAGGAGCATGCCTTACTGCTTCTGGACTTCGCCTCCATAGCAGAGTACTCAGACCTGTTCTAGGTTATCCCGCTTGTGTAACTTAGAAAAGCCCTAGAAACAAGGACACTAGCTTTAATTAGTCTAACTATTTTTGTTTGCAGTTAATGTCCAGGAGACCCTGAGCTCTGCAAAAAAGCAACCAAGTGTAGTCACTGCACAGAGGAATGTCAGTTCTGCCCCCTTGGTGTGGATGGTGACTTCCCACTCGTTTGTTCAGCCACTGCCGTTGCTATCCAGAAACAAGCAGACTTTGGAAAGTGTCAGACAGGTTCTTCCTCTTGGCCTCCTTCACCTTAAATGTTAGGCCATTCATTTGAAAGTCAATTCTGTATGCTATGTTTTGTAAACCAACAGTGAGGACCATTTGCCCCTGTTTCTGAATTGCTGTTCTGGTGCTGGCCATTTAACCTAGAGCCTCACACAGGCGGGCACTCAGAACCCAGGCCCTTGCTCCCCATTAAATTTGAATGCCAGTGTGGCTGACTTCTTGTTCATGGCTCATAGAGATTCTGGCTTTTTTTGTGATGGGTTTATGAGGCTTAGGATCCACTGTAAACTAGTCAGGTGAGTTTCTAGGGTAAGTTGATACTTAGTTGCTTAGATCTGATAAAAGTGTTTCCCAGTTATGACAAGAACGGCTGGACAGCACAGAACAGACAAATGTGTGGCCAGTCATGGGAAGAAAGGTCTGAGCCTGCATGTACTGGGAACACCACCCCTGGGGCTTATGCAGTGTTTGCCAAACCATGCCATAGCACTGCTCTGCACAGGAGTCTGATGCGTACATAGGACCTGGGAAATTAAAAGCTAGCCCTTTGCCTTACCTTCCAGGCCTATGAAATAGTTTTTAAGTAGTTTATTTTATTCAGGTTATATGGAGTTTCAGCCTGTCTGTCTCTTATTTATTCACTTTCCAGATTCGTTTCTACCATATTTTTTGTTACAATTTTGACAGGAAATAACCGAAATAGCTACTTGTAAAATGCATCTTTCTATTATTAATGTTGCTCTGTGAAGGGCCTCTTCCCTCACTTTCTGTTAAAAGTTCCAAAGCTGGAAAGACTTCATATATACTTGCATTAACCAGTGCTATATTCCTTATAAAGTATTCTTTTTCAGTTTCATAAACTTGGGGGAACCTTCACATTCATCCTCAGGAGAACTTCTGAGTAACCCTGTGAAGCACCAACCAGCAGGGGGCAGCCTGGCAGTGAAAGCTCCCTGTTTAGCAGAGAATGAAAAGGCAAGCAGGCCCTGCAGACACTTAAGTCCGTCTAGTCTGTCTGCAAGCTCTGCATCCTTTCCCTCCTTCCTTCTGGCAGGATGCAGAAAAGCAGAGGCGCTAAAGGTTGGGCCCTGGACTCTTTGGAGGTGGAAGCCACCTCAGGAAGTGAAAGGGCCACAATACATTTATCCAAGAAGGTGGCAGTCAGGATGCCATAGGAGGACCCAGTCTGGGAAGATACTTCAGCGGAAGTCGGGGAGCATGTCTCTCTCTGAGGATAGGGGATCCTTTTATCCTGGCTGTTCCCTTTGCAGAAGTACTCCCCCACCGTGTGTGCCCCGAGTCTTGTCCTCTCATTTCCTCACCTCAGTGCTGGGTGTTAAAAGTACAAAAGCTTTCAATTCCTCTTAAGTAGTTTGGGGGGTTAAGATATGGTTCTGAGAGGATCCCTAAACCGTTTTTATAGAACCAGTGCCCTCTCTGCTATTTCTGTGAGAACCTCAGTCCTCCCCCAGTGCAAGGCACCTCCCCTGCGGTGCCAGTGCCAATCAGGAAGCTAGGAAGGAGGGGTCCTCTTCATCCCTTTAGTAACAGATTTGTATGAGGACACCCATTCTCACAGGACGGGGCAGTCTGGTAGCTAACAGAGTGGGATAAGTGAAAAAGAAAAAAGAAAAAAAAAATGATGTGCTATATACAGCGAGTATTTTATTAAATAAACACTGTGGAGGCTGAGGATGTAGCTCAGTTGGTACACTGTTAGCCTAGCACGCCTAAAGCCCAACCCCACACAAACGGGTGGGTCACTGTGCATGCCGATAGTCCTAGCACTCTGGAGGGGGAGGCAGGAAAATCGTTAAGTTCAAGGTTATCCTTCGTTACATAGCAAGCTCAAAGTCCATCGGGGCTGCACGAGCCCCTAGCTCAAGTAAATAAATAAAGGTGGAAGGGGAGTGCTGGCTTCACAGCTTCAGTGTTGTCCTCTGACCTTTGTGCCAGGGCACATTCCCCACCACCCCATATCATGTACACATAAAAAATTAATATATCGATTAAATACCTCCTTTTAGACTTGGGATGAGAAAAAGATGATGTCTGGATGTGTTTATATACATGGTAGGCATCCGTCTCGTTTCTGTGACCATAGTCGTCCAGTGAGCCTGTGGTACTTGTCCACCGCACACACGTGATTTGTTTTTGAGCCCTGTGTAGCAAACGAAAGTAGTGAATGAACAGAGCCATGCTGTGAATGAACAGTTTTTCTTGGTGCTTTATTTACTTATCTGCTTGATCTTTTCTCTCAGCTCTTCACACAGGTGGCTGTGACACAGTGTGTGCCTGTGAGGACAGACACGTGTCTGTGTGGCTGCATCTGCTGAGGTGAAGCCCAAATGGGCTGGCTGCTAGTCAGAGCTTAGGACATCTAAAACCTTAACATAGCCATGGTAGGACCACAGCCTTGAAAGATGGCAGCTAGCACTTCCTGGGGGCCAGCCTCAACACGATGCGATGATGGTGAGGGCAGAGGAAAAACGGTTCCTGAATGCATTTAAGCTCTCAAAACCACTGCTCTCCTCTTCACTGGCCCACAAAGAGGTCTGGCCGTGTTCACCAAGGGGAGCACGCAGGGACACAGGTAAAAGGGCCTGGGTACTCATCAAATGTCTGCTTGGACTCCATGGCAACTCAGCATTCCACAAGGGATTTCCCTTGACTGTTCAACAGGCCAAGAGCATCAGTGATTGCCATCAGTTGGCCACCAGCCGACTAAGAAGAGACAAGGAGAGACCTCAGCCTCTGAGGAGCATGCCTTGCCGGCTCTGGATTTCTCCTCGATAGCAGGAGTACGCAGACCTGTTCCAAGTTACACTACTTCTGGTGTCAGGACACAAAAGCCGGAGAAACAAGCATGCTAACGTTGCTCTCACTATTTTCGTTTGCAGTTACTATCTGGGAGACTGTGAGAGTTGCATCTTCACCCGAGGGCAGCACACCGGTACCACTGTGCTGAGACCCATGCATGCCTCAGCAAGGTCCCTGGTTGCTGAGAGCTGACAAGATGGTGTTCTGTTATTGCGAGCGTACACCACAGATGTGGTCAGCTGAGGGCCTGATGGGTTATACACACCTGCTGCACAGGTCATGCAAACTACACATTGTTTCAAGGGTCAGTGTGACTGTAGATACACCACACACGTGGTTTGAAAGGGCCCTTTCAGGTGTGCACACACTATACAGAAAGGGTCAGTGGGACTGTGCAGACATACCACACACAGAAAGGGACCACGTGACCACGCACACTGAACACAGAAAAGGTCCATGTGACTGCACAGCCTACACTTGCAGTTAGAAAAGGTCTATTTGGTTGTGCATACCCGGTTAGAAAGGGTTCCTGGGACCATGCACAGAAAAGGTCCACGGGAATTGTGCACTCACCACACTGAAAGGGGCCACGTGACTGTGCACACACTGCACATGCAGCTAGAAAGGGGCCAAGCAATTGTGCACAGTGACCGCACACACCATACGTGCGGTTAGAAAGGGCCCGTTGGACTGCGCACACCCCATGCACACAGTTAGAAAGGGCCCATGCAATTGTGCACATCCCACACTGGTTGGTTCAGATAGGGTGCAGGCGACTTGCCACTTGCCCGGCCCTTGCTGTGGGCGCGCCCACCCAGCAGCCAGCCCCGCAGGCCGAGGAGGAGGCCCCACACACACCCACCGAGCCGCGGCCGCCCGGGAGGCCCGCGCCACCCACGGTCCCGGGCCCAGCGCAGCCCGCGGGTGGCCGCCACCCAGACCAGTGTCCGAGGCCCCGCGCGAGCGCGCGCGCGCTCCCCGGGACGGCCGCGGCGCCTTTAACCCGGGCGGCGGGCAGGCGAGCGGGCGGGCGCTCGGAGGAGCTCTTTCTTTCTTCTTTTTTTTGAATGAACGGTGACGTACGTACAGGAAACCAGGCGCTCCGGCGGAGAATGAAGTAAGAGGCCGGGCCCCCCGCCCCGCGCCCGCCCTTTCCCTCCCCGGCCCGCCCTCCCGCCCTGCGTCCGGGTCCCCGCCGAGCCGCCGCCGCTGCCGCCGCCGCCACCACGGTGCACGGGCCCTCCCCAGCCGCGGCCGTCCCCGCCGAGCGGGCCGCCAGCGCCCCCCGGAGCGGAGGAGGAGAAAGGGTGCGCAGCCCGGAGGCGGGGTGCGCCGGCGGGGTGCAGCGGAAGAGGGGGCGGGAGGGGGGAACTTCGTAGCAGTCATCCCTTTTTAGGAAAAAGAGCCCTCCCCCACCACCTCCTTCTCCCGTAGCGCACCACACACGGCGCGCGGGCTGCTCGCTCGGCACCGGCGGCCCCAGCGCGTCCACGCCTGCATTTATCAAGCTGCTTTTTTTTTTTTTCCCTCCCCCCCACTCCCGCTTCGGAAAACGCATTGGCCCTTCGGAGTTTAATTAGAAGAGGATTCCCGTCCCCGTCCCCCTCGCTCCTCCATCGTCCCCCTTGCGCGTCTTTCTCCCGTGATGGTCTGAAGCGGTCCGGTGGATACGGGTCCATGCCTTCGCTCCAGCGTGTGTGTGCGCGAGTGTAAATTGCCGAGGAGGGGGTGAAATCGCAGGACTTCTGCAAATACTGCACTGAAAATTGTAATCCATCTGCCGCCCCCGCTGCCTTTTTGCCCCGCTGCAGTGCTCTTGAGATCTCGGGTTGGGATTCCTTCGGATTGACATTCTCGGCGAAGCCGGAGTGTGAGGACGCAATCTGGAAACCCTCCTGATTTTCACTCCACCTAGCCCCTACTCCCGCAACTCCTGATTCATTGCAAGTTTCAAAGAAGCGTATACAAGGAGTCTTCTGAAGATCGATGGTGTCGCTGCCTTATGTATTTGTTTGGGTTTTACCAAAAAAGGGGAAACTTGACAGAAGACCATGCAGTCCTTAAAAAATACAGTAAGTTCTTTGCACAGGAATTTGGTTTAATGTAACTTTCAATGGACGCATTTGAAATATTTTCTTTTTACTTTAATGCATTCGAGCAAATCTAATTTCCAGTTTAATGCATTTTTTTTTCTTTAGCGCGTAACTTATAGTGGAATATGCCCTTCTTCCCCTGGGAGCATAAAGGAAAACACACCTGCTTTTAACTTGCTAGGTCGTCCTGCCTCCTCACCTTTCAGCATTGCGGAGGAAGTAGACTGGTAGTCACAAAGCTTAATAACTAATGTGCCTCATGCAATAAAGAGCCGAAAGGAATTTGAATAAAAATTTCCTGCATCTCCTGCCAAGGGGGAAACACCAGAATCAAGTGTTCCCGTGACTAAAACACCCCCTCATCCAAGAATGCAAAGCACATCCAATAAAAGAGCCGGATTATAACTATTCCTTTTTTTTTTTTTTTCCTTTCGGGGCCGTGGGTCGGGAGTCGGGACGCGAAGAGCTGTTGGTACCTGCAGCTTTTTTTTTTTTTTTTTTTTTTTTTCGGGGAAGGATGGCGCAAGCCGGGAGAACAGGGTATGATAACCGGGAGATCGTGATGAAGTATATCCATTATAAGCTGTCACAGAGGGGCTACGAGTGGGACGCAGGAGATGCGGACACCGCGCCCCTGGGGGCGGCCACCACCCCTGGCATCTTCTCCTCCCATCCTGAGAGCAACCCAACGCCCGCTGTGCACCGGGACACTGCTGCCAGGACGTCGCCTCCAGGGCCCCTGGTCGCCACTGCTGGGCCTGTGCTCAGCCCTGTGCCACCTGTGGTCCACCTGACCCTCCGCCGGGCTGGGGATGACTTCTCCCGTCGCTACCGTCGCGACTTCGCAGAGATGTCCAGTCAGCTGCACCTGACGCCCTTCACCGCGAGAGGACGCTTTGCCACGGTGGTGGAGGAACTCTTCAGGGATGGGGTGAACTGGGGGAGGATTGTGGCCTTCTTTGAGTTTGGTGGGGTCATGTGTGTGGAGAGCGTCAACAGGGAGATGTCACCCCTGGTGGACAATATCGCCCTGTGGATGACTGAGTACCTGAACGGGAATCTGCACGCCTGGATCCAGGATAACGGAGGCTGGGTAGGTGCACGTATGGCTGAATGAGTCTGGGCCTATGTCTCAAGGCCAAGATGTGGAGTTTGGTGTGTGAGTGGATTCTGGGTCAAAATGGGCCGCTGAGTCGATGAAATAAAACCGAGTTTGTAGTTTTGCTCCCCCTGTCCCTTCCTCTGGACAGATCACACCCTGGCAACACCGTGTTACCTCCTGCCTGCTGGCTGTGAAAGAGTAAAGGCCCAGCGTTTTTGATCCAGTAGGATTGGGAGATAAATAGTATCCCTCCAGTGGCTCGGAAAGTTACTTATTTCGAGTAGCTTGTTGCGAGTGTTTTGGATCATGTGTAAGGAACCGGACCTCCAGGCTGGCGCTTGACCTGAGCATCCTTAGCTCCTCTGGAGGACTAACAACGGAGAAGGTCTAACTAGACAAGCAGGCTCCACCAGAGGACGCAGGCATACCTTTTCTGACTCACTTGGGAACATTTTCCCAAAGAAAAACAATACAGCCCCCTTTCCTGGAAATCATAGCTAAGCTTGTAAAAACCTAAGCTGGTATTCGTGGATGTTTGTGGAAACTGGGCACTCTGTGCCATAGTCCCAGTGGGCATGGTGTGTGTGCACCCTGAGCAGGCTGTGGGTGCTCTGCAGCAGCTCCAGGCTTTGCAGTCTGTGACTGGTGCATGATTTAGAAGTTTACATTCACTTGAATATATTTTACTTACCTCCGCCTTGCATGGTGTTGTGATCTCCATTGCTGAACGGGCTTGTGGCTAGGGTGTCTGTGAGAGGGGCACTGGAGTCCTCTCGGCTGCAGAGTCTCCAGATCTGACTTAAGTTAAAATGATTAGTACTATAACTTTGCTGAGCGTCTGTGAGGTGATGGTTTTCTGTTATCTTGGGAGGTCAAGCTTCAATATTTTACCATGAGATTCAAGCTTTTCCCTGGTTCTTTGGGGGCAGAGAGCAGACTCAAGACTTGTTACACCTAATGCCATTAAGTTATGAAAAAGCAGTAAGTATTGTCTGACTTTTTTTTTTTTTTGAAGACCTTGTTTTAATGAAAAAGGTTTTAATTTTAGTCCTACCTTGGATAGTCTCAAGAGAATGACTAATTTTTTTATAGGACCTAACAGGAACAAAAAGTCTGTAATTGACCACACATGAATCAAATGTCTAGAAGCACATGTCTAGAAACTGTATGTTTTTACTACAGTTTCCAAATGTGCTAATATTCATGGGCCCCAAAAAGAAAACGCCAAGAAAAATAGATGATTGATGTGAACAGCTGATCTTATTTGACCAAAGTTGACAAAATATTGGTGGCACTGTTCAATGTTTAAAAGTAAAATTAACTCAAATCTCTGAGTTTATGTGCTCGAAATTGACAGGCTCTTGGTGAATTGCTTGTTTGTTGACATCCCACACCATCAGATTGTTAGCGATGCTGGAAGAATTGGCTGAGGGTGGAAACTGTTTCTGTTAGATGTTTCGTTAAGTAAGGTGGTTTGATTTTTCGCCACTGTATTCAGAAAGATGGGAACTTTCAGGTCCAGAAGAAATATTTTTAAAGACAGAATAAAACTGATTTATAGGTTTTATTATTTCATATTCTTATGAAAAAAAAAAAGCAAGTGTGTTTCTTTCTATTTGAAAGAACTCTAAGGCAGAGTGTGTGGTACTGACGGGCCAGCCAATGGAACTGTGGGAAACAGTACCATATGTTCCTGATAGAAACTCAGATACAACCTGGCCTTTATTGTCCAGTTGCACTATGTTAACAACTCATACAACTGGGCGTTCTTTTTAAATGAAGCATCTCCTTTTGCTGTGTTCCTCATCAGGTTTTTGTTGTGGAGCCTATCTTTGTGGTCAACAGGTAACTGAGGTTGGTAAATGCATAGGCTGCATGTCATGAAGCCAAAACCACAATTGCCTACTGGAGGAGATGATGAAAACTTTTTTTTTTCCTTTTTTACTAAGCCTCTTATAGTAAATATAAGTCATACAGAACCACAAATGGCTGATGGTTAAAAAAAAGTCCAATAGTTTTCAGGATAATACATAAATGGATGACTATACATGAAAAGAAAGTAAAGTGACAAGAAAATAGTATGTATCAGAAAATGGAATCATATGTAAACACTTTGAAATAAAAGTGTCAGTATTTAAGAGTTCTTAGTGATTGGTCTATTGGCCTATGGTTTAAAATGTGTCTTATTAATTAAAATTTTTGTTTTAGGCATTTGGCATATAGGTTTCCCTTTAATTTTCTGTCAGGATTGTATCCCTAGTATGTTGCTTATTGCAGTGATGTTTTAATAACCATAAGTTTCAGCAGATGTTGTTATTTTAATAACAATAGCTGTTTCAGCAGAGAGCTTATTTTCTTGCCGGGACATAATGATGTGAATGGTGGAAATAATTTTCCATGGTCAGTGGAGTAGCTGAACTATAGATCTATCAAGTTTTAGACTTGAAATCACTTTTTGTTTTCTGCTCCAAAGTCAGAGTCCTCCAAGACTGGGGAACACTGTGCTCCATGTTTCATTACAGGGAAAACAGCCTTTGGAACGACCAGCTCCTGAGAGAGGGTCCCAGAACCTGCAAATTAAATAAGGAATAAAAGAGTAATTGGGTATAAAGCAGAGTATGGCTTATCCCCAAGTCTGAATAAGGGCTTTTTGCTCTCGAGAGAAAGGCAAAAATAGAGAGATAAGGGAGGCAGCAGCCTGATTCTTACCTGGGACCCTCCTGGGCAGAGAATACCAGGCTTCACTCTAGTGCCACTGAGATAGAGCCTTTGGTTTCTATGTGCATTAAAGTCTGAGTTGCTGGCTGCCATATTTGATTCTCTTTGGATGTGGGCGGCTTGTTGGCTTGTTGTTCTTTGTTCTGTTTTATTTTGTTTTTGAAGGGTCAGGTCTGGCTTGGATTCCATAGACTTCTTTCTAGGGGACGGCTGCAGGTCCAGATGTTACCTGGAATCCTGTTTCTCGGATGTCCACTACAGCAATCTGACCCCCAAAGGCAGTAGGGAATGAAGGCAAGAGAGACATTAACTAAGCACAACCCTCCTGCTCCTCTCAGGGATGCTGCTCATGATGGTGATGGATTTTGCATTGGCATCAATGGCGCCATTAACGTGTGATGGTTTTTCTTCTTCAACCAAAGGGAAGCTCTGTACCCAACAGAGGTCAGCTTCCTTTTTGAGCTGGCTAGTTAGCAAGTAGTTTCCCCTTTCTGAATACGGTTTACATCCACCAGAACATTTGCCTAACTGGAAAGCATTCTCATGTCAGTAGATGGGCTAAATGAAAGAGCATCATTTTCCTAGTGGCCGGCATCAGCTGCCATAGCCAACTTTGGCAGCAAAATGATAGTATTAAAAATAGCATTATGATGATCCAGTCTTAAATAATACATTCCCTGATGAGCTTTCCTTGGGAAACTGTGTATCTCTGTCTGCTAGGAATCCCATGACCACTCTCAATAATTTATTTTGTAGAAAGAAAAAAAAAGCATGTTATTGGTCTTAAATTTTTTAGTCATGTGCTGTTGAGTGATTCTGTTTCTGGAACTTCATACCAGTTTTTAGTTCACTCAGTTCTCTTTTCTGTGTTGGGGTTTTTGTCGCTATTTAACATCCACTGAAAACATTTCTTTTGTGTGCCCTGTTTCTTTTAGTTATGCTTTCTGAAATGAGCAGATTGGTCATTTTAGCAACTCTTGATTGAACTGGTACATGTCATATTGTTTAAATGCCATAGACACATACCTACCACATAATAGAGATCCACAGACAAAGGGGGTGGGAAGCAAACCAAATTCTGTCATTCCCCTCCCACCCCACACCCCCCATTCCCCCACATTCTCCTTGTCTCCTTGTCCTTGCGCTGTTTTGTGTCTTGCAGGGATAACAAACCCATGCAAGAAGCAGCATGGGTAGCTCCTTGAGTGCATCACAGTAGGGCGTCTCCTACATGGCCTCTGCCTCACTTGCTGTAAGGACACTTACTGTGTCGTCATAGCAGCTCGGCAAAGGAGTGCATTTGTACAAGAAAACAACACTGTCTTTGTTGTATACAAGTACAAAAGTGGTTTTTTTTTTTTTTTTTTCACCTAGAGGTTTATTGTATGTGAGAGTCAAAGGTTCTGTTAAACCTTTTAAAGGTAATCTGATATTACCTTTTCCAGGTATGGCAATGACCTTTCAATCTGGTCACCCTGGCTGATGACTACATATAGAGACCACTCAGTGAGTTCATCTCTCTATGAAGAGTGTCTTTCATTATTATCAGTTTAATTCAAATACATATACTCAACGTCTAAGCAGGTGAAAAATCTTTCAAGGACTGAGTTTGCAGCAGACATGATGGCAAGCTTCACATGTGCCAGGCTCTGTGTTAGGTTGGGGATGTGGGAGGGAAAGCTCCCCTCCAAGCTGGATAAATCTCAGCCTAGGATTCTCTATGTCTCAGTGCAGTAACCAGGAGCCCAGCAAGCAAGATCCTACATCCAAGGATATAGAAAGAAAAAGACAAGAAGTGTGTTTGTTGTTTTGCATGTGCTTCAGTCTTGGTCTTAAAGTTATTTCTAGCCATATGGTTGTTCATGTGTGTGTCAGAGCTTATTTAAATAAGGGGCCAAATGAGATAATTTAAAAAAAAATCTGTTAACATAGACATAGTATTAACAGAACTGAAAGGTGGGGGGAGTTCCCTTTTAAAATAGTAATCCACTAAACAGTGTTTTCCACTTCGAGTAGGCTTAATAAACACTAGTCTACAGTTTGTAAAGAATTTCATTAACGTGTTAAGGGGAAGACAATCAAGGCTTGCTCTAATTAGAACATGGTAATTAAAGAAGTATCTTAAATAATTATCTCTCATACACAGAAAGCTACAAGTGCATTTTGAACCAGACTAGAGATTCTCCCCCCACCTCCCCAACCTTTGAGAGAAAAGAAAAACTTTTCTTTTGGTTTGGTTTTGTCCTGGTATTACTCTGTTATCAAATGTTTCT